GGGAAGCATGTATAATGTAAACAGAATTGGTCCTAGCACTGAACCCTGTGGAACTCCATAATTAACCTCAGTGTGTAAAGAGGACTCTCCATTTACATGCACAAATTGGAGTCTATTAGATAGATATGATACAAACTTCTTTCCTATAGACGTGTATGAAACAGCTGTTTGTGTTTGTTGGGTCAAACTATATAAAATTAAATCTCAGTCCCACAATGTTTCAAAATGGAGGATTAGCTTTGGTATGAAGCCGCACATTAATTGGCTGATGAGTTGTTGCACCGATGGAGGTGATGTCACAGTGGCTCCGCCCATCTTTAACCACCCATGGTGTAAATTTAACGCTCAAAGGACTGGTTGTGTTTTGCAGATGCAGTCGGCAGAGTTTTCCACAGATGGCGATAAAGGACGGCCAGGTATGAGTCCTCGCTCACCTTTTTCATGACATCAGAAAAAACAGCGGCGCTGCTGGTTTAACAAGTTCATTCTGAGCGTGCAGCTCTCACAGACGATTGGTCACATGAGCCTAACGCACATCACATGAAACAAAAACAACCAGAGTTTGTAGAAACGAGTCACCTGTGAGTGTGCTGATGAACTGTGGCTGACACACCTGAGTGACATCACTCGGTACTAACCTCTGCTCTTCCTGTTGTGTCTTCTATCTTTCAGCTGCTCAGGTAAGCATGTCTGTGTGCATGACCTGTTTAACCTGCACAGCCCTGACACACCTGAGCACATTACTGGCCCCGCCCCCACAGCTGTTATAAAGGAGTCTGTGAGCACTGACTCGCTGTTGGAGCCTCTGGTGGTCGTCAGAGGTACTGCAGGTTTGGCACCCGGAGGTCAACGGTTGAATTTAGGTTCCTGCAGCTTTGCATACCTCGACATAAAGAATCAGCTCCTTTTTACCACTTTAGCACACCACTGGTCACTTTGTGACTGTGAATTGTGGACCAATCAGAAACTTCACAGCAGGGCAACTAACCCCACCCTCGTATTTCCTGCAGTCTCACGCCTCTCTAAAGCCTCACTGGTCTGTTATTGTTGGATTATTTCTTATAAAACACTCTCATTAAGTCTTTGTCTCTTTGATAGACAGTTTGTAAGGAGGCCCAGAGAGGTCAAAACACCAGCAAATTGAAAAAAGCAAAAACACAACAGAGGTGATTCAGGTGAACCAGTAATAGCAAACATACATGTACAGTACATGAATCATGTGATTAGAATAGCATCTCTCCCTCAATCAGCACCAACCAATCCTTGGCTTGTTTTACTGTCACTGTTGCAGCTTTTCATCACGTTCTGCTTCATATTGTGAGATTTTGCGATATTTTATTATTTGCTATGTTTTCTGAAGTCGCATTGCATTTGAGCTCTCAGGGCCACAGACGCTGTTCTGTGATGCAGATGCTGCAGCTGCTGAGGATAATTTCAAACAGCACTATGAGGCAGATGTGGCGCAGACCATCAGGAGCAGGAGGGCTTTGATGGCCCACATGTCACGATCCAGCTGATGTTCACAGAGACACTGTTGGGCTTGAGCTTTAACGTGTTGGACTGTAGAAAACTTCAGTGTTTTCCATGAAGGAACGCTTCAGTAAAGATACCACTGGCTTCATTTCCTGTCACCGGCTGTCTGGAACGCTCCAGGCCAGAGATGGAGAAATCCAGAATTTAGAAACAGTATTCCTGACTTGTGCTGACAGAAGCGTCAGATTAATGTGTTGGTTTCATGTGTCGTGTTAAATCAGTCTGAGCATTTTAAATGTGTGTGTGCAGAACGGTGACACTCGCAGGGAGCGCATGGACCGAGGAAACTCTCTGCCGAGCATCCTGGAGCAGAAGGTAAGGTGCTCCCAGTCGCATCGCGGAGCTCTGGTAGAGTAGCTCTGCATGAGTCACAGTTCAAAATAAAACATTTATCTTTAAGATGCTCTTTGTGATTGGGAGCCAATCAGAAGAGAGCTGACTTAAAAGGGGAGGAGTTAAAACAAGGCATTTCCAACAGGATGAACTGGTAGGGGCTCTTCAAGCCTCAGGATCAGATAAAGGAGGATTATGTTGAACTGTGAATCATGCAAAGCTGCTCTGTGAAGTCCAGGAACAAAATTAGACCCTTTTTAATCACTTCGATTACTGATTTTACCTCTGAATTTTGTCTGAATTTTAAAAATCAGTTGACGCGAACAATCAACTGATCAGATCTGACTGGTACTGTCTCTGATATCATTGTAATACTCCTAACTCAGGTACTACTGGCTCGTTACACTGATGTGTACTTTGCAGTGTAGTATCCGAGTACTCCCTCCAGCTGATGGCATGCTGTGTATTTCAGATCTACCCCTATGAGACACTGGTTGTGACCCACAGAGGGCGCTGTAAGCTGCCTCCAGGCGTGGACCGCACTCGGCTTGAGGTGAGGGACGCTGTGCTGGGTAGTCATTTCCTGTCTTCCTTCTCAGTGTCCCAGTTGAAGCTTCTCTGTGGTAGCACTGGTTTCTCTGGTTTCCCAATTTGACTGTTTGAAGTCAGACTTGTTTGCGCGTCCCAGTTTAACTTTAGAACTGATTTACATAAACTTTCTTAGAGGTGGGACTGGTTCCAGTCCTCCCAGTCTGAGCGTCGCTGCAGCACGACTACTTCACTGGAGGTTTTAACTTCTTCTTCTTCTCCTCCCTGTCAGCGGCACCTGTCCCAGGAGGAGTTTGAGCAGGTGTTCGGGATGCCGATGGCCGAGTTTGAGCGCCTCTCGCTGTGGAAACGAAATGAACTGAAGAAGAAAGCCTCGCTTTTCTAACAGGAAGTGACCTCATCCCAACAAATACTTGATAAAGGTTTTAAAGTAGGAGGCGTTCAAATAAAATATCCAATCAGCAGACACACACAGAGCCAATCACTTAACTCCGACACGTCCTCCATCTTACTAACTGTGCTCCTGGAAGCTCGCCGAGGAGCAGACCGGTCCTGGTCAACCTTTTACTGCGACTAACCTTAATCGATACACTGATTACCTGTGCCGCGCATATAATCACCACTGCTTACAGGTCACCACATTATCTTCATCATCTTCATCACATGTAATCTCTGTAGCTCTGTCTCCTCATGTGGATTATTCCCAGCTCCGGGTCTGATCCATGTTAGGGACCTGCTGCGGGTCCCTCAGATTTCACGCCATCTTCAGGTGTTATGCTAACATGAAGCTGCTTCACTTTCATCCTTGTAGTTAGACAGTTAGATGGGATTATTAGTGGGATAGTAAAAATGAAAATGACCTCTTACAGCTTTTCCAATCATTTCTAGGTCTAGGAAAGTCATTATGGACACCTCATAAGGATTTGTGGAAAGAGCAGACCTCAATCTCCAGCATATCCTGGGTCTGTTAGTCAAACCTCAGATTCAGGAGGATCATGATCTTTATTTAGAGAGCTTTCTTTTTAGTGATGCCCCGTTATCATGGAAGCCTGCAGCTCTTCCACAATCCTTCACAGATCTTCAGAGCAGCTCTGGGAGTTGCAGAGGCTTCAGGAAATCTGAAACCCTCCGGGCTGCTTCAGGCTGGCTGTAATTCCCCTGGAGGCCCAGCTGAGGGCGATCTAAGCTTGCCATCAGCCTGTTCTGTCAGCTGCAGAGAAGCAGGCTGCTCGTGGTGATGATTGTGGTCCTGCAGCTTCATGGTAGCGGTCCTGGTCTAACAGCTGATTGTAATGATTAACCACATGCAGCTTTTATTTATTGGACGATTGTATTTTTTCTGCATTTGTCTGCTACCGTGAAGCGTTTTATTTTGGAAATCTTGTTGAAAATATTTTTGGCTGTATAGCTTTTTTCTGTTTTTAAATATTACTCCACGTGGAGTTCAGACCACACACACCTGCAGTTCCTGCTAGCTCACCTGGTGTCACCTGTGCCGTCTCATCCGTCCCTCGCAGTCCTGTTTCTGTCCTCTGATATAACGGAGACCAATAAACTTGCAGAGTAACGTCTGTCTCTCGAGTCTTTTTTTCACACATTTTCACCATAAAAGTCCTCCGTACCTGCACACCAGAGCTCAGACTGGAACCAGTTCCAACCACACGGCTCAGGGACTGGACTGGTTGTCAGTGTCGAGGCATTCACATATGACCTGGGTTCTTACTTAGCTTCCACTTTTATCATCCAATCACAGTTTTGATCTCCACCTCTGGCTCGACCCCACCCTCTCTCTGGATCTTTTTCCTGCCTTCATCATCATGATAATGATCACCACCACCATCATCATCATCCAATGTCCAGTCTCCATCTCTCCCCAGCAGGGACGCTGAACTCATAGCTGCTCCCTGTCAGTGTGAGAAGTTTAACTGAACATGATAAAGTTTTTCCACACGATGAAAAAAATGCCGTCGCAGGAAGTGAAAGAAATCTGTCAGCGCGACTGTTTGAGCTTAAACTGAGAAATAAATGTGTAAAATTACAGCAAAGCTCTGTAATTTTAACACCGAAAGTTCCTGTTCATTCACAGTGAAAGTTTTTATATTCTTTATTCATTTATAATTTTTCATTTTCCAAAGACATCCAGGGGGCCGGATCGAAGACTTTCCCGGGCCAGATCTGGCCCTTGCACCTTATGTTTGACACCCTTGCTTTTACTCATTTAAAACAAAGATGGGAGTCAAATCATTTACACTGAGCTCACAGCACTGATGTGGGCAGGAAAACACAGCCTGAAAGGTCAGAGTTCATCTGAACACCTCTGTGTGCTCATCTCCTTTGGTTCTCCAGAAGTCTGAGCAGCAGATCTCCTGCTGTGTCACGTGTGACCGAGTCACAGGAGATTGGAAATGCCTCTTCCTGTTACTACAGCGTCACACCTCCCAGCTCGCGGTTGACGGTTTCTGCTGTGAGCAGTCCAAACGCCCCCGACACCATATTTAATTTTTTTAATTAAATTGAATCATCGTCAGCCTTTCCCGCCTGGCTGCGAGCTACTTCACGTGGAGTGAGCAGCAGGTGATGATGTGGAGAGTCCACGTTGCTTGGTAACAGATAAAAGCTGCACAAAGGACCACCTCCCACACCGCACTCTGATTGGCAGCTGCTCGGCGACCCGTTTGCGCAGACGGCGTCCTTGAGACCAAAGCACACACAGACACACACTGAGCAGCTGTTGTTGAGTTTTTATTGAATGAGTGAAACGTCTACAGAGATGAGGCCTCGGAGGAACAAATCCAGCTGCTTACAGACAAACATCCAGATGTTTTTTCCTCTCTGTACATTCGGTGAGATATGTTCTAAGAAATGAGGCCTGGCAAACACCCCCCCCCACCAAAAATAAATCAAGAGTCAAATCAAACCCACGCAGGTCCTCATCACACCTGAAGCACACCTGAAACTCCCTCCTCCTCTTTGTGTGAAGGGCTCTTCTGTTCTACTAAAACTGCCGGTCTCAATCAATTTCAATCAAAAATGACGTAAATTATTATTATTGATGATTAAGATTACTATTTACATCCAGCTCAGAGATGAGGAGGATCGGTGGTTTCTGACGGCCGTCATTTTAAATGATTCAGCTTTATTCTGCGTCAGCACTCAAGCCATTTATTAACAGATAACTTTATTTATGTACACTTTTTTAAACTTTTTTTCCTCTGATAAGTTTCACAAATTATAATTTTCAGATTTTCTCTGATTTGTTTTTGAATATTCCACATGTGTTTTTGACAGAATTCTCTTTGGAGTTTTTAATTCATTAAAATATTTTCTCAGGCTGTCATTTCCATTTTTCTCAGATATTTTTGACCAATGATTTTAATAGAATTCTTTTATAACAATTTTCTCAAAGAGCTGCGATGGATTTGTAAAGGTGCATTTCACTGAAACGCGCTGGAGCGCCAGTGGAGGCCATGTTAAACTCACTCCTGTAAAACAGGAGCATGACGCGTTCCCAGCTTTCCCAAAATATCGCAATATAACAGATCTGTCTGAAGTTCAACCAGCCGAGGAGGCTCGAGTCATTTTTCCAGAATTAGGAGCTTCAGCTCAGAAACTCAGTTTTAATAAAGCAGAACCTTCAACTCTTTCCCTCCACTGCCTCCACACCTCCACTCTCGCTCCGCCCCCTCCCACCTGGATAGTTAAAGCCTAAGTCTATGTTATAAAAAAAAACAACAAAAAACATCACATTGAAAAGAGGGAACAATTAAAATATACATATATTATAAATGTAAATACTCGCTCGGCGGAGCTCAGTCACACTATCATTGGCATAAGAAAGGATGGATGTGTGCGTGTATGCGTGTGCGTGTGCGTGTGTGTGTGTGGGCACGAACACAGCATTTGAATGAGCGTCACTTCCTCCCCGGACCAAAGAAGAAAAAAGAAGAAAAAGAGGTGTGGCTGATACGAAGGTGTGGCATCGAGTACCAGCTGCCTCCTGATTGGAGGCATCGAGCGGTGCTGAGACTTCTTCCTGTTCAGTCTGGATCTACGATATTTAACCGATGATGTAATAAATAAAGCGCGGCGAGTCGCTCGGACTGAACGGCCTCGTCTGCCGCTCGTGACGGAAGGAAGGAGGGAGGGGAGGAAAGGAAAGGAGGCAGGGAAGGAGAGAAGGAGGAAGAGGAGGGGGAGGGTCTAGGCCTGAGCGTTGGTGCCGTTCTTGTCCGGGGGTCCGGTGCTCGCCGGCAGGTTGTTGAGGGAGGGCGGGGCCTCGTGCTGCTTGCTGTCGCGACGCGGCGGCATCCTCTCGTTGATGCGGTCCAGCCCTCGCGCCTCCTCGAAGCTCTGGATCTTGTGCTGCGGGTTGAAGCCTTGAATGGCTGCGAGGAAACAGGAAGAGGTTAGACACGAGGAGACGTCAAGCACAGCCGGGTCAGAAGGTCACCGCCAGCGCTGGATGCCGCCGTCCAGCTTTACTTGAAAATGTATTTTCAATGCTAATATTTTATGACACATTTCAATGATTTCTCCTAAAAATAAATATCAGGTGAAAAAAATTCATGTTATTGTGTAAAAAACTTTCCAGTTTTAAGAAATATTTTTTAAAAATTCTGAGATTTTTCTTTAAAATTTCAGTAAAATACTTCTATTACTTTTAACAAATTACATTTAATTTATAAATTGTCAAAAATGTAAAATGTAAAGAAAACATTTAATCAAAATTATTTTCAGCAATATTTTTGTACTTTAAGGATATTTCCAATTAGTAATATATAATTATGGAAATTATGTTAATATTATTTAGATATTTTAGTATTTACTATTTAACATTTTGTCATTTTTATTTCAGCAAATTTTAGTAATAAATTAGTATTTTACTACAGTATTTTATTAGCGTGTAACATCATTTAAAATATTTTTATTTTTACTTTTTATTTTAGAACTTGTGTGTGAACTTTTCCTGTCCTGCTGGCTTGTTTCTGACCCGCTGCACAAACAGTCACTTTTAAAAACACGAAGAGAAGGTGAGGAAACTTACTTGAAACAGGACAAAGACAGCATGAAGACAAAGAAACAGGTGATCAATAATCAGCTCTCACATTAGCTCATAAAAGGTTCAGGTTGAACATTAGACACCAACAGCACAGACATATTTCAGAGTGGGTGAACACAGACAGTCACACAGAGAGTCGGAGGGTCGGTTGCATACCTCGTGCCTCTTCTGCCTCTACGGTGGCTGTGTAAGCGTGAGTAGAAGTGCCATGCCAAAAAACCAATGGAGAGAGAGTGGGAACGTTATATATCAATGCATTCAGTCAGTCACGTTATCAGTCCTGTTAACATGGAGTCAATCATCATACAACCCCACCCACCCCCCACCACCCCACCATCCTGACCACAGAGTCCGAGATTAGAGCACAGCTAACATCTTCTTGGGTTTACGGGGGTCTGTCGGAAACGCCACGCTGCCCCGCAAAGACAAACCACCCGCGCCTGACTCTACCGTCATATCGAAGTGACAATTTTGGCGTCTAAACGTGACGCGGCTCCCAATCGGTCCTGATTCAGTGGTGCAAAGTTCATGCTGCCAACTCCAACCCACCCTGCTCTGATGTAAGACCCGCAGGTTAGTCTGACCCTGGTGATGATGGTTTTTACCAAGGGGACAAAAGGTCGAGGTTCAGGCAACTACTTTTACATTTAATATGAATTCACCTCCATAAATATAGACGTTATACAAGTACATATAACCTGGAATATTGCCACAAGCTGCAGCTGATGAAGTGATCTACATGACCAGATCAGGACCAGGAGTGTGGGTGAAGTTTCCAGGCTTTGTAATAATAAGTATAATTAGCCATAAATCCATGAAAATAAGTAAATGCAGTTTGATATGTGCTTGCTCTCCCTGCAGCCGTTTGTCTTTGAAGGCCAGTGTGCTGCAGAGATGTGCACAGGTTGGTCCGTGACAGGAGAATCGAGGATCGACATTTCCACCAGGCTACGCGTTTCTCGGCGGTTAGTCTCTCGGTGTGAGTGCAGGCATGGGGCGGTTAGTGTTAGCTGGACTCTGGGTTAGTGTTTGGTGGGATGCTCCGCTGCGCTCGCACTCACCGCTCTGCAGAGTCCGCCGACCGCCGGACAAAACACCGAGGGGCAGCGTCCCCGTCGGGGTCAGCCCCTTCAGCTGCAGTACGCTCTCGTTCTCCTCTCTGTCGACACACAAACACAACATCATTAGAGAGTGTCAGCTGATCGTGTCACCGATGAGGCACAGTCGTTAAAAGTTAACTTCAAAAGCCTCCAGACAGGAAGTCTAAATATGACGGCGTGATGTTTTCAGAGACAGCACAGATGGAAGGAGGAGGTCACTGCTACACAACAAACCTGAAAGAAGAAACAAGGACTCCTCCTGACCCGGTTCACCAACATTTTACCAGATTAGTTCTCCAGGTTATTGTTTATGATATAACCAGAGCTCAAAGCTCCACACAACCTTTCATAGCCTCCTGTGTGTTTCCTGTGTGCCAACACAGCAGAAACTAGGAACAAAGCACATGG